AAGATAGCACTTGTCATCACTGGACAAATTTAGTCTACACCTCAGCTCGCTGGCGGAGCTTCCCAAAAACTCTCTCCTCTCTGGCAGGCGTCTCACAGAAATCTCATCTCTTTACGCATGCGTATTCCTCAGTTAAGTCATTGCCATTCACAGTTCTTTAAAATAGGCGTTAAAATGAATTACAGTACTCGTAATGTGAGGAGTTTGCTAACGACGTTCTCTCTCGTCAAGAGCATCATAGGTCTTTCTAGTAGAGTTCAGGAGCGTTCTTTACAACATGAATTACAAATCAGTTATTTTTAATTCAAATAGCCCTAAATGTAATCTTTGGGTCTATGAGTATCTTCAACAAAATCTTTTTTTAGCATATGGAAAGAAATTTTTGCTAAATTTTTTCTCGTCAACATTTTTAGCGCATTTAACTTGAATCTGTAATCATCGCCAAGCGAAATGTCAGCATAAAAGGTTACCATACTCTTTTATTCGATTACTAACATAAAAAAATTATGTAAGCATCGTTACATGAGTCATTACTCAAGTTGTCATGTTTTGATAAACATGCGGCGATGAAAGGGAAGTATAATAAATCATGATTTGCCAGGTTGGCGTCAGATCAACCATGTATCTATGTGGAATGTTACAGTTTGAGATATGCAGCAATGGAGCCAAATTACTGATCATACAATTTTATGCTAGAATGATTGTTTCTTCAATAACAAGGCATTTTATTTAGTGTCAAAGTGAAATTAAGAATCGGGACTCTCCAGATGTTTTATGATGTGCAGAGGGGGAAATCAAATGCACATGTGTAAAGCCTACCAGGATAACGTTGTTGGTGGTTTTGAGGTCCAGATTTTAGATCATTTTGGATAATGGACGTCCGGATTTTGTATTGTATTGTGTTAGGAAGAGAACCCAGCGAAACTGCATCCAAGCAGCAACAGAGATACAAGCAAAGTGCACAGTTATCCAGTATGGAAGATCACATAGAAGAAGGTTTTGGTTTAGGATAGAAAAGTTTTAGTTCTCAAAATCTTAAGTTTCCAGTTACCTACGTCATCAGTGTAAAGCAAGCCATGTATCATAGATAGATCTAGAAATGATGCAGTCTAGGAAAGTTATTGCAATTTTTAGAATACAGAGCAAATACTAAAAAAATGAGAAAAGCCTACCATTAAACTGAATTATAAAGCTGATTTACATATTTTTTATCTTACGTACATGTACAACTCCTCGTACTCACACAAACACTCAAACATACTAAAATACATACAAGTCAAGAAGAAACAGATATTCTTGATCTACAAATTATTCAATACAATAAAATTAAAATGTTTGATAAAAGAAGAGAATTTAATACCATTAAACTAATTGATTGGCATAGCAACTTATCAAAAAACGCTATTAGCAACACAATAGGCAATCAAATTAAAATGAAAAAAAAATCTGCACTGAAATATACTACATGAAAATGAATTAACACAAGTTCTTATATAAGTCAGATACCTTCTCATTTAATTAATTATTCACTTAGTAAAGCAGGTGTTAACTTTCAAATTTATTCATACTTTTCTTATATTTCTTTGATTTTCAACCAGAGATTATAACTATTTTAATTTTAAATTATTAGTTTAATTCCTGGAAAACTGGACTTCGTAATAGTCAAGAGGAGATAAAAAGTGATTTCCAAACATCCTCCCCCTTACCACACTGACTTTCTTGGTCCAGCCAATCAAAGGGCTTCCTTCGAATTAGTTTCTAAGCTTTCCTTTCTCCATAAGGTATTTTTTAACATTTTCTCCCACATCTTTTATGGTAAACCTAGACATCCCTTAAGTACTGGCAGCAACGAACTTCCTTTGCAATTCAACAATTTACACAGACTTACTGCCTAGGAGTTTACAGCAAATTAGGATTTTAATTGTAATTTTTGGCCTACATTTGTTTCATATGCCTGTATGTATGACCTTTTAATTTTTCAATTATTTACTAATTGTAATTGCATTATAGTTTTTGCATTTGTATGCATTACCAATGTTTAGAGTAACTTCTATATTCCCCATAAGTTTCTTTTAACAATCTTTTTGCAAATAGTCCTTTTTGACCGTATCAGGGAATTACTTTCAGACTGAAAGTTATTAATTTAAATCCAATTTGTATGAATTTCATTTATTAATTTTTAATTAGGAATAAATTAATTCAAACATATGAAAGGAAATAAAACATGATCAACCCTAAATTATGGCGAACTTTGTTTTTTGGGGGGGGGGCAATTCACTTTGAGAAATCAGCTCTTTCTTGGAAAGAGGCAGTAATTTTCTTGACCTCCCCCCTTTTTTTTAATGTACCTTTACTTTTATTTTTATGAACGTACCATTTTTTTAACATTTTATTTCATTTTCTTTTGTTTTCAAAAGTACATTCTTATGAATACCCATATCAACTTTAAACATCTTAGTTTTTACTAGTTTATTAATATTTTATCTGTCTTTGTAAGATTTAACATAGCTTAGTTTCAATTAGTAATAGTTTTCATTTCCTTTCACAAGAGAAAATCCTAATTAGAAAATTAGTAATAAATATATATATATATATATATCAATTATAATATTGAAAAATTAATAATATATATTATATATATATGTGCGTTTAAATATATATATTGTAATATTTTCTTACTAATAATTATATTTATTGTCCTTGACAGTGGAGTGGTAATCCCATATTTTGTATTGTGTAACAATTGCTGAGGAACATCAGAAAATGTTTTAAAAAGTTATTCTGGAAGATTGAGATTTTGTAGATGTATAAAAATTTATCAAGAAAGAAAATGCAATACTGAGCTGGAGTGTGATTCCATAATGAATATAATTGTATTTTAAATTATATATCTCCTTGAGCCGAGAGTAACATCTATATTTTACTAAGAAGCTCATCAGTTATTTCGTTAAATGCTACAACAAAATGTTACAGTCTTAATTGGAGGTTTGACCGAGATACTGCAAATTAGGAGTGTAATTATCAATTTTGATGATGCTGGTATCCTAATCTCAGAAAGCTGCTGATATTTTAAGAAAAAGTTTGTTTTTGTTAATGAATTAAAATCTCAATCATTTCTTACTGAATCAGAGCACTAGTTGCCTGTGTTTATTTATTTCACGCAGAAATGGAAATCAAAAGTCTGCCGTTTTATTGCCACTTATTAAAAAGGATCACTCAAAGGTCATTTTCTGCATTTATATAACTTGGGTCCCATCAAAGAATTGTCAGAATAGGATACATCTGATCTCCGAAGATTCACTTTTGGTTTTCTTAAAAAAGTGTTTATTGAATTTTAATATTTTACTTTAGAATTATATTTAAGTGGTGTAAGTTTTTATTTAAAATAACTGACACTAAAATTATTAGGCCTAAAATTATAATTGATATTTGTGATAAAGAAATACTTAACAATTATTATTTAGACTTTACTGTTATTTGCATTAACTTTTTTGTTTATGGAATAGTTTAATTTTTAATGGATATGTGCAAGACATCCGGCATTTATTAAAAAAAAAAAAAAAAATCTAGGCAATCGTTTTTTTGAATTTGTTGCCAATCAGGCGTACGGAAAATAAGTAGTAATGTCAAACTGACATTCTGTGATTTAACTGTACTGCCAAACTGGCAAAAGTGTTTTCTTAGTTCTCGCCATCCAGGCGTGTGGCAGATAGTAATGTCATCCTGACGTATTATAGTTAAATTGTATTGCCAAACTGGCAAAAATTGTTTTTGTTATCACTAACCATGTGTGGAGACAGATAGTAAAATCGTCAAACTGGTATAGGTATAATTCCATTGTATTGCCAAAATAATTAATTAACAATTCCATTGTTGGCAAAAAAAAAAAAATTATTGCCAACCACATGTGGAGATAGTAAAATCGTCTAACTAACATGGGTATAATTCTATGTATTGCCAAACTGGCAAAGGTGTTTATATAGTTATCGCCAACAAGACTTGTGATACTGAGTTAAAATGTCAACTTGGCGTAATATCACTTTATTTTGTTGCCAAATTGACAAAGTTGTTGAAATAATTACCTTAGAGTGAAGTTTGTATTAGACTAGAGATTAGTAGTGTATTTCACATTTTTCTTAATTTAAAAATTGCATTAGATATTTTTCAAGTTATTTAAAGTACATTATAATATATATTTCAAGTTGATATAACAGTTGTGCACTGTATATTATTATTGCACGATAGTAACACTGTATATTATTATTGTTGCATATTGTGTTGTTTTCAAAGAAAAAATTGTATACTTTAATTTATAAAAATATTAATTTAAAGTTTATCTGAAGGGGGGAGAGGTTGTAATATTTTCCTATTTAAAAACTGTCCTTCACATTAGAGAAGCAATGCCATATTTTGTATCGTGCAACCATTGCTAAGCAATGTCAGAAGAAGTTATTCTGGAAGATTATCATTTTGTAGATGTATGAAAATTTATCGAGAAAGAAAATGTAATACTGAGTTGAAGTGCAATGCTGTAATAAATATAATTGTATTTTAAATTACCTATCTTCGTGAAATTTGTGATTTTTTTTATAATTATTAATTTTTTACATATTTGTATAATATTCTAGTTTGCAAAGATTACCATAAGAGCAGCTTACAAAAGATATATAGCCACAAAATTATAATATTTATAAATAGAATTATAGATTAAATAAATTATAGGCATAAAATAAAATTATATCTCAAGAAAATAAGGGGCTAAATTCTAATTTATAGGTTTTTATCCTTTGCATAAATGGAAATAAAACATATTCTTTTTTGAAATGTGATTAGTACGTATATTAAACATATACACTGAATAATCATAAAGAGAAAAAATAGTATTGTGAATGCAAGTAACAGGAAAATTGTCAAAAATACTCATATTTACAGTAGCAAATCTCGAAAGCACAAAACAGATCAATCTTTTGATAACACAAATTTAAAAATATATAATTTACCAGTTTCGCAGCTTTATATTCTAATGCATCTCTTTCTTCTCTGATTTTTGCGTTTTCCTTCATGATTTCAGATGACTGCATTCGCATTGCCTGTAATTCACTTTGCACTAAAAGGATTTATGCACATAATGGGTAAGTAGACTGAGAATTAAATTGAATATTCATAAAATATGTCACCTCAATAAATTACTAAGTAAGCTTTCTGCTTCATAAAATATTTTCATTCATGCACAGACATTTGTAAATATTTATATTTACAAAAAAATCATAATTACATAAATATGCAATACTCTTTAAAAACTGAAATAATACTCTTACATTAAACAATTTTCCACTTTTGAAATTAATATCATTAAAGCACAATGCCATAACATATTTTCTGACAGAGAATGATAACAGTTTTTGAGATGGTTCTTCTTAACAATGATTTTAGATCTTAAGATAATTAAAAGATTTCTAACCACTATGTTAATGATAAATTTTAAACAGTTGTCCTTTCAAGGCAAAATTCTGTGCATAAATGTTAACAGCACAGAATAGCAGCACATAATGCATAAATGTTAACAGATGTGAAAAATATTTAAGAAGTTAAAATAATAATTCTACAAACTACATAAAATCAATGCAAGTTAAAATATAATTTTATTCTAAGGCCCTGATATCTTAAATATTCATGAACTTTCATCTTAAATATTCATGAACTCACTTTTTAAGAAGAATTTACCCTACAATAACTCCAACTAAATAAACTGAGACTCACAATGCATAAGAATTTTCATATTATTAAATCAAATCATCTGTAAATATAAGTTTCCCTGTTAAGGAAAAAAATAATATTTGATACATTTAATTCTTATGCATAAGAGTTAAAAACTGTCTGTTAAAACAGATACTCAACAGTGCATTTCTTAATAAAAATTCTTTTACTGTTTTTTTAAAAAGAAATATGAAGGATAATACTCACATAAGGCTTTTCCTTCTTCTAAGGCTTTCACTTGTAAATGCATGGCTTCAAGTTCTAACTAAAACACAATTTTGGCTCCATTATTATTTTTATTATTTTCATTTTAAGCAACTAATTTGCAACACATTTCTGAAACACAACTTTTTTTTATGTACAGAGTATGTAACTTTTTGAATTAAAAAATACCTTTATTCAAGATTTAATTTAACAACATTAGTTTCAAATTTAAAGTTATTACACATTCCCATTTCTAATTTCCTTTTAGCTCATTATTTTCACACTTTGGAATATTGTCAAAATAACATCTACTTGAGTAATATAAATTGAATGTGATGCAAATTTTGACTAAATTCTTCTTTTGAGACTAATACAATTCATCAGTATGTTCATAAGCTTAATTACACGAAATGAAAAAACAGTTACTGATACATAATGTTTGTTTTTAATGTGATTACCTGCAAAATGTTCCTGTATTACAGAAATGTGGCTTGCTTTCCAAATGAAATGCTCACTTTCCCTTATTGGTTTGAAAATTTATAGATTAATGGAAGGAAATTTACTATCAATGATGAAACTTTAAAATTCTAAATCACTAATATATATTATAAAGATGCATACATTTAACTACAACATTTGGTTAAAAATCAGTAAAGATGATTTATTATTACAGATGCTCAGACTATTCAGAAATACATATTATTAGATAGACGGCTGTTTTGTTGGAGAAAATATCTTTTATGAATAATGAGTGAGTGAATGAGAGTGAGGTTTTTGGTGCAAAACCAGAGATGATTATAACGCGTCAAACACAAGGTAAGATGATCAAAATTGATGAAATTAAAATACAATTAATAAAAACAGGTGGACCAATGTACCAAATCCAGAGGACGAAGTCATATAAAAACAAGGTAAAAGAACGCATTCAAATCCAAGACATAATCTTCAAAACAAATTACATTACGTAATAAAAAGACAGTCTCTTTTAAGTAATAAAACCCAGTCTCCCTTAAATAATAAAATAAATTACAATTGGCATCATGGTCGTGAGGTAAGTCACAGCTATTAAAATATTTCTGAAGAAGACTATTAAAACATGGGCACTCAATTAAAATATGACGGCCAGATAAACAAACATTACAATTTTTACAAACAGGCTCATTCTCAGCTTTCAAAAGGTAGTTATTATGTGTCACTTCTAGTGTGACCAATTCTGAGGCGAGTCAAAAGAACTTCCTCCTTACGATTTCCAAGTAAAATTCCAATGCTCAAATTCTAGGCTTTACATATTTTTTCAACATTTTTTGTGAAACTGATTGTCCCAAAGTTTGCTGCCATTTTTCTCGCATCTTCCCTTTGATGACACAACAGATGTCTCTAAAAGGGATGAAGGCGACTGGACAGTTCAACAGCAGATTTCGCTTCGATATCTGCCAGCTCATTTCCCTTTATTCCTTGCATGTCCTAGGAACCCAGCAGTACAAGGATTTCATATCCTCGAATCGTTAAGTTTATATGTAATATTGAGAACATATCCACTTACCACAGGATTCTGAGTATTGGGAAAAGCTTCCAATGATTTAAGAGCACTATACGAGTCTGTATAAACTATGAACCTTTTGTGGCAGAGCTTTAAGATGTACAAAAGACCATAATATGTTGTAGTTAGTTCAGATGTTAGAACTGAGAAAGCATGGTGCAAGCACCTGCCCTCTATGTGATCTTCAATTACAAATGCCATCCCAACATGAACATTTGACTTGGATCCATCTGTATATACTGGAAGATAATAACTGCTAATATTTGTGCCTGTGCTCAGCAAAGAGTTGTCTGTAAACGATCTCGTTGGTTAGTGCTTGCCTTCACGTGATGTTTGAAAACATCAAGAAGCTGAATCCGTTGCATTTTCCCAAGGTGGGATTTCAAAATTCTGTACCTGCTTGGGGGCGCATATCAGAGAGGGAAAGTTCCTCAATGACAGGGCGGCGAACTCTTAAAGGAAAAGTAGGAACGCAGGATGGACGTGTTTCAAATAATGTGTTACACACATTATCAAGTAAGGACAGCTTATTAGGATGTTCAGGTTGCAATAGAATATTAAAATATTGCAAAAGGGACAATTGCTCACGCCTCAGAAAAAGTGATGGTTCGTTAGAGTGAACATACAGGCTCTGGACACGAGAAGTCCTGAAAGCTCTTAAACAAATCTGCAGAGCTTGACGGTGAACAGGATCTAGTTTTAACAAAACTGATGACCAAGCGGATCCATAAACAACTGTGCCATAGTCCAGTCTAGAGTGAGCAAGCGCTCTGTAAATGCGAAGCTTAGAGCAACACTTTGCACCCCAGGAGGTGTTCGCCAACACTTTTAAAATATTTAGTGTTTTTAAATACTTCTTTCTCAGGTTTAAAACATGAGAAAGGAAAGTCAATTTTCGGTCAAACGTCACTCCTAAAAATTTTACTTCAGGCGCAACTGGAATAATATTACCATTCAGATATAACTCAGGCTCAGGATGGAGACCTCGCTTCCTACAAAAGTGCACGCACACAGTTTTTGTTTCGAAAAAGTAAATCCTGTTTGTTGACCATTCTTGGATCTTATTCAGAGCCATCTGCAATTGCCTCTCTACATATCTCATGTCTGCTCCTCGACAGCTAATCTGTAATCATCAACATATAGATCCCAAGATGGTGGGAGGAAGTTCTTTTAATACAGAGTTTATTTTTAAAATGAACAGGGTTACACTAAGCACACAGCCTTGAGGCACACCCTCTTCCTGTTCAAAAACATCCGACAAAACAGAGCCAATCCTTACTTGAAAAGTTCTAGTGTTCAAGAAATTCTGAATGAAAATTGGTAGGTTGCCGCGCAAGCCACTCTCGTGAAGATCCCGAAGTATACCGTATCTCCATGCCTTATCATAAGCTTTCTCAATGTCAAAAAATACTGAGACAAGGTGACTTCTTCTTACAAAAGCTTTTCAAATGGATGTCTATCTACAGTTGTTCTCCCCTTTCGAAAACCACTTTGATAAGGCGATATGATATTATTCTTTTCCAAGAAGTAGACTAGGCAACTGTTTACCATTTTTTCAAACAGTTTGCATACGCAACTTGTAAGGGCAATTGGCTTATTAGTTGGCGGGATTTCTTGGATCTTTCCCCTATCTTAGCAATAGGAATTACAACAGCTCTCCTCATGCATGCACTGGGAAAAGTACGCTCCTTCCACACTCTATTGTAAAGTGTGAGAAGGGCAGTCAGTGACTTATAGGACAGATGCTTTAGCATTTCATAATTCACACGCCATCAAAACCGGACAAGACCTATGTGTCTGCAACAAAGCTCTCTTTAATTCAAGCATAGTAAAGTCTCTATTGTAAGGCTCAGTTTGGAAGAGTTGAATGTGATGGGATTTATTTCAGAGTGCTGCTTGATAGAGAGAAATGCAGGTGAATAGTTTCTGCTGCTGGAAGAAACGGCAGCAAATGTCTCACCAATAGTATTCGCAATTTCTTCTATGGAGCTAATCACTCGGCCATCTTTTTCAAAAAGGAAAAGTGGTGTCTTTATATATTTACATGCTTTTGAAACTCTTTCCCCTCTTTTGGCTTGTCAAATAAACATGAATGGGCCTGAATCAGAACAGGGAGCTTACTCAAGCTATGTTCAAGAAGGTGTGAAGTAGACAGCACAAGCAGGAAGGGTATACGAAACCCTTTATTTTGAATCTTAACAGGATCTTCCAAGCTTCGGAATACAAAGACCAACCACTTGTGGTCTGAACGTAAGAATATAAAAACTACTAACTAAAACTCTAACTAAAAAACTAACTTTGAATTAGTATACAAATGCCTAGCACTAAGACTGACCTTTATTTAAAAAAGGTACGTATGTAGTACGCGCGAGCTGCTTAAACTACAATACGTCTGCAAATATCAAGAGGGCTAAACCTCTGGCCTTAAAGGCAACCAGCAACCGAATGAAAACTCGTAAAACTACAGTGGCAAGCGGCTTGCTTCCTAAAACTCCTTCTCTCTCTCTTGGCAAAAAGCCACAACTTAAGTACTTGGTGTTAGCAAGACAATTTGTATAAACAAGTTGAAGCATTTAATTCTGGCCGGAAGTAGAAAATAAGAAGTGATAACACAGTTTTAAAATAAAATAAACGTTAGTAAAACTTAGGATCCTTACACGCTTACTAGGAATAGAGGCTGTTATTGACGACAATATGAAACCACATATGAAATCCAAGAATTCCTTTGACTCTGCCTTCTTAGTTTTCATGCATTTGCTTTGGCTGTTTTAAACGCTATGAGGTTTCGCAGAGTTGGATATCTACAAAAAATACTCCATGCTTTTTTCTGTTTTTTCAGTGCTTTGACAGACATGATTCCACCATGGTTTCGTATATTTTAATATTTTTCCTGATGAATGAGGAATGGAAAGCATAGCTGCCTCAATAATAGTATTAGTAATAGCTTCAACAGCATCATCAATATGCATATCTTCTACAATTTCCTCTGTGAGTTCTGCAACGAAGAGGAAAGATCCCAGTCTGCCCTATCGAGTATGAACCGAGGGGAACGCGGCATGGGATCTGCTCCTCTTCAAGCAAGAGATAAAAAATGGGATAGTGATCACTATTGTGAAGGTCATTTCCCACACTAAAAGTGCAAAATGGCAACAGAGATGGTGAACAGATGGCAAGGTCGAGAGCGTGAAATGTCCTTGAAGGCTCATGAAAGTAAGTAGTATCCTGCCCATTATTCAGGAGACAAAGGCTATGATCTTCAATCATTCGCTCAATTTGTCTTCCTCGGCAATTTGTATCTTTACTGCCCCAGAGCGGACTATGGCCATTAAAATCTCCTATTATGATAAAGGGCTCAGGCAGCTGCTCTATAAGACCATTTAAATCTTGCTGATTTGGAGGCAAATACAGAGAAACGACTGAAACAACAATATCAAAATTTGCTTGAGTAGCGACAACTTGATGGGATGTCATCAAAGAAAACGTATTTGATGGATGGTTCAGTGAGGTGAGGAGACCTATAC